AGCATACGGTCAGTGAGTGCTGAGCCTGCGCCCTACGCCTGACACTGGTTTAGATGCTCTGCACATCTTGTCTCATCTCGTCTCCACGATAACCTTCAAGGTGGTACCATGAGCCCTATTTTATAGAGAAGCTCAGAGAGGTTAAGTGACTTTGCAAAAGTGACACAGCTAGTGGTGGAGATGGCATTTAAACTCAGCTCTGTTGGTCTGCAAAACCCTGTTTTTCCCTCTACGTCTTGTTGCTCCTCAGCCACACCTGACTAAAGAGGAGGGGGATGTTTGTGGGATAACCTCTTCCAAAGCGAGGAAGGAACAGTTCCTGCTGGACAGACTGAAAAGACTGAGCCATCCCTTCCTTCCCTCCCCGACCTGCTGCTCACTGCAGTCAGACACTCTGAGATCACCTGGAAGGGTTAATGCCGCAGCCGCTTGACCTCGGCATTAACACAGTGCCATTAAAACAGCAGGAATGCAGAAGCCTTGCAAAGAAGTATGGTCACAGGACCCCTTGTTCCCAAACTCCCCTAGAAAAGAACTTGTTTCTTGAGGATTCTGTGACAGATGCCAGAAGAACTGAGGAATGCCTCCTTGATTCCAGTGGCTACTGGTGTGTGGTCCCTGGACCAGCAGCCACAGCATCCCCAGAGAACTTGTAAGAAATGCAAATTCTCCAGGTAACTCCAGACCTGATGAAACTGTGGGTGGGACCCAGTGATGTTTTATTTCTTTTAGAGATAGGCTGGAGTGCAGTGGCGTGATCTGGGCTCACTGGAGCCTCAAACTCCTGGACTCAAGTGATCTTCCCACCTCAGCCTCCCAAGTAGTTGGGACTGCTGGCACATGCCACCACACCTGGCTAATTTTAAAATTTGTTGGAGTTGGGGAGTTTCACTCTTTTGCCCATGTCAGAGTGCACACAATCACAACTCACTGTGGCCTCGAACTCCTCGGCTTAGGTGATCCTTCCACCTCAACCTCCTGAGTAACTGGGACTACAGGCATGGGCCCCATACCCAGTTAATTTTTTGTTTTTGATTTTTTTTTTTTTTTTGTAGTGAGGAGGTCTCAGTATATTGCCCAGACTGGTCTCACTCTTGGGCTTAAGCAATCCGGGAGTGGCCACTGCACTCCAGTCTAGGCAACAGTGAGACTCCAACTCAAATAAATAAATAAATAACTGAGGCTAACTTGGCACTTACCATGTGAGCTAAGTGCTTTGTTTATATCATCCAGCTTAATTCTCTTAACCACTGCGACAGACATCATCATTTTTCTTATCTTCCCTTTTGGAAGAGATGCAGGCAGGCTGAGGCCTCGTTTGGTTAAGAAGCTCTCCAAGGCTGCAGATGGAGTTCAGGAGTGGAGTGGGAGGCTTGGAGGGCTGACTGCAGTCTGTCTCATAGAGCTACTTTTGCTGCAAGAAGACATCTTGAAAACTACCCAAGACAGCTCAAAAACAACCTCTCCGTTGAGAATTGTGGGCTGATCCAAGGAGCTTCTTCCACAAGGGGCTTTGCTAGGCCACTTCCCACAGTTGTTGCAGCCTGAGACATTCTAAGCTGCCTCTCCCTTGCGGTGCCCCTGGGCCCGGGTGCCCACAACTGTGCTTCCCAGCCTCAGAGGAACATGGCAACAGCTCCTCACTTGATTTCAGGTTTCTTTCCTTTTTTTCCCTTTTCTTTTTCTTTCTTTCTTTCTTTTTTAACCAGAGTCTCTCTCTGTCGCCCAGGCTGGAGTGCAGTGGCACCATCATGGCTCACCGCAGCCTTGACCTTCTGGGCTCAGGTGATCCTTCTGCCTTAGCCTCCTGAGTAACTGGGACTATAGGTGCATGCCATCATGCCTGGATAATTATTTTATTTCATTTTTTGTAGACATGAGGGCTTGCTATGTTGCTCAGGCTGGTCTTGAACTCCTGGGCTCAAGCCATCTTTCTGCCTCAGCCTCCCAAATTGCTGAGAGTATATGCATAAGCCACCGCACCTGGCTTTTTTTGTTTTTTGTATTTTTTTGTTTTTTTTAATGTAGAGACTGGGTCTTGCTATGTTGCCCAGGATAATCTTGAATTCTCGACCTCAAACAAATCCTCCCATCTCAATCTCCCAAAGCACTGGGAATAAAGGCATAAGCCACCGTACCCCGCCCAATTTCACTTTTCTAGGACTTGGGAGAAGCTCTCATCTGGAGGATCTTGTAATCTGGGGTCTGTTCTTTGGATCCTGGACTGAGGGAAGTGCTGGGGCTCGTGGAGAAAGGAGCTGTGTTTGGGCCTGGGGGCCTGGCTGGGGGCTAGAGGGGCAGCATCTGTGGGGATAACAATGGGCATTCAGTGAGAATTTGGCCCCTGGGACCCTTCAAGCCTGGAGGTCAGGTTCTAGCCCCGAAACAAAGCTTGTGGCTCAGCCTCTTACTCGTGCATTTAGTTCTGTCCTTGGCAGCCTTGGTGGGGGCTCTGTGTGCACCCAGAGGAGGGGCTTCCACTCAGCCCTTCTTTGCAGACTGCCTGCCTGTAGCATGTAGCCCTGGGCCAGAAGCACGCCTTGCACACCAGGCCTGGGGCACAGTTATCCTGCAGAGAGAGGCCTGCCTGGCTGTGGGAGCCCAGGGGCTGAGTGAACCAGAGTGGCCACCCAGACCCGGGCAGGTCTCCCCAGAGATGATGTTGGCTAAGGAGAAAGATCCAGCCAGCCAGGCCCCAATCAAATGCCCCAAGGAGGAATCCCCGGCAGGGCTGGTGGGATCTGGGGTATCCACTCAAAGTCCCCCACCGTGTTTCCCAGCCAAGCCTGTGCAGGTTTCAAGAGCATTCGGCCAGCTAGGAGGCCCGCCTGCTAGATGTTTCAGCCACAGCCGAGAGCAGTCACTGCTGCAGCTACTCTGTGTTTATCTCCCACCACATGCCGGGTACTGACTTCTTCCCCAGCCCCCCAGCATTGACGTGATCTCCATTGTGTAGGTGGGGCTCAAAAACTTAGGTAACATACCTTATTTATAACTGACTGGGCCAGGATTCAAACCCGGGTCTGTCTGGACTTTTGCACCATGAGGTGCCTTAGAAGGTAGCACTGACCCAGTCTAAGATGCTTGGGTGAGCATCTGGGTAGGGCCACAGCCATGAGACGGTGTGGACTAGGGAAAGACCTTGTGTACAGATGGCAGAGGCACTTGCCTCATTTATAGGGGGCACAGGGGGCCTCCTTCCATCTCACCCTGATTTCTGCCCCTAGGTCCACAGTGGAATGACTTATCATGGGGGATCACGGTGTTGGGTGCCTACACACAGGCAAAAGCTTCCTTTCAGTAGCTTTTCTGCCACAGTGGTACCTCTTGGGATTCAGGCTGCGTCCTCTTCCATACCCCTCCACTTAATTTGTGTGCTTTTGCTGTCCAGCCCCCATTCCACTGTGTCCTGGACACTGAGAAGCACATTTCTTATACTTTCATGCCTTGGTGATTGGCACCCATCTTGTCGTTGAGTTCTACATTTGATATAGTAAGGCTGTTTAAATGGTATGGTGGCTCACATCTGTAATCCCAGCACTTTGGGAGGTGGAGGTGAGAGGATGGCTTAAACCCAGGAGTTTAAGACCAGCCTGGGCAACATGGTGAGACCTCATCTCTACTATAAATTAAAAAATTAGCCAGGTGTGGTGGCACATACCTATAGTTACAGCTAGTTGGGATGCTAAGGCAGAAGGATTACCTGAGCCCGGCAAGTCGAGGCAGCGGTGGCTGTGATTGTGCCGCTGCTCTCCAACCTGGCAGACAGACTAGACGCTGACAAATAAATAAATAAATAAATGAATATTGCATTCATAGAATCAATGTGAAGGAAGAATTGAGGAGCTAGTGTAATTCATGCCCTTATTCAGCTCCTCAGCTGGCTACAGTAAACATCAGGCACAGAGCTGAGTGCTGGGAATGTGGAAACCACCAGCATGCAGTCCTGGGTGCCATGGTCTTGAGGGAGCAGATGAATCAGCAGCTGGAGCACACTGTGATAAGGGGGTTTGGGGGATCAGGACGAAAAGACAGGCAGGCTGGGGCTGCTTCGAAGGGGAAGGCATATTGTGGAGGAGGTTGGGATTCGGAGGAGTTTGGATGAGGTGGGGTATTCCAGACAAGTGGTGTGGTGAGAGCCAGTGTCACCACGGGGACACAGGTGTGAAATGAGGCTGGGAATGGAGAGAGGACCATGGGGGACCACAAGCTTGTGCAGATGAGCTTAATCTCTATCCTGGGTCAAAAAGTGAGCCACTGAGGTGTTCTAAGCAGGGAGGAATGCCTCAGTGAGGTTAGGAACTCTATGCAGAAAGCAGATGGGAAGAGGCCAGTGGGGTGGGTAGGAGGAGGCAGGGAGGGCGACAGCTATTTGGAAGGAAAGGAGAGTTACCTGAGAGCTTTGCTCCTGTTCCCAGACAGGTGGGCCTCATGGCAGAGGCCTGAGGAAGCCCCTGTGTGGTCGCGTGGCATCTAGATGTAGAACTTGTGGGCTCCAGTGGCTCCGCTCTCACCTTGACCCTGTCATGAGTGTCCTGGTCTCGGGAGAGTGGCAGTAGGTGGGCTGACTGACGATCGGGTGCTGGCTTAAGCTGGACAAAGAGGAAGAGTGTGCCGCTTGTCCCTGCTTGTTAAAGAGGCACCATGTCAACCCGCAGTGGTGACACTCCCACCTGCACTCACCATATTAGCTTGAGGGTCAGAATTATTCACAGTTGGATGGGAGCATGTGGCAGCACCTGGGAAAACATGTTCAGGATTTGGTGAGAACCATCTCAGGAAAAACACAGTATGAGGTCAGGTGGTCAGTGTGAAGGGTCATAAGAAAAGACAGACTAGCTGCTGTGATTGTGCATGCATGTCACCCTGCACCTGTGTGCTCCGTGCTGCTGATGGCCTGCTCCACCCGCAAGACGGATGCAGGGGTGAGAGGCAGAGGCTGTAGAGGACTCTTGACATTGAGACTCATGGTTTTCTTCCCTGCTTCCTTCCCTGAACAGGTACAGTGCCACACATACACGGGCTACTGCTGGTGTGTCACCCCGGACGGGAAGCCCATCAGTGGCTCTTCTGTGCAGAACAAAACTCCTGTATGTTCAGGTACCGTGGGGAGGGACGGGAAGAACAAACATGGCCAGAGAGGGACCCTTTGGTTGATCTCCTGCAGCTTGTGGGGGCACCATGGGGAGGTTGTTGGTGGTGATGGGCCCTTTTCCAGGCCAGGGAGGAGTCCACTCTAGCATGCCTGCTCACTGGTCAGTGGGGTGATCCCGTGAGTGTATCGTTATTGATTTTCATGGCTGTCACCCCTGTGGCATCTGCATTACTTGCTTGTGTGTGGTTTCTGGCTGCTAGTGGCCATCTAAGTGCTTTATTGAGATAGATCTTAAGACCATGTGGGAGGTCACTGTCAAAAGCCGTGGCGATCAGTTAGTGATGTCATCACGGGCACAGGAGAGAAGAGTGGTAGCTCATGTGTAATAGATTTTCCACCCCTGCAGAATGTCATGTACACAAGTGGAAAACCTTCCCAGCAGTGGCCTCCAAATCTGGCTGACCATCAGCAGTGCCTGGGAGTTAAAACGAACCCTGATGTCAGACCCCCCTATGTAGTATCCTGATCCAGAAAGTCTACAGTGAGACCTGTAGTGCTTACTTTTATGAAGCTTCTCAGGTGGTTCTGATGTTTAGGCAAGTTGGGAAACCCCTGTTTTCTAGTGACCCGTCAGGTTAGCTCATAACAAAAATGAAGTATTTTCTTTTCTCTGTCCAGCTGTATAAGCAGAGAGACATTTTGCTCTTAGGTTAGTTTCATGGGGTTGTGGATTATGGGTTATACAAGCTTGCACTGGCTACCTCTGCTCAGACAGCAAGGGGCTCTGAGGTGCCTCTGAATTTACTAAGTGCTCTGCCATCTTTCAAAGAAGCCCATCCCATCCATCAGCTGACCCGTATTTCTCCATATCTGTGTGTATATGGCTTTACTGCTTTGCTTATTTTTCATTTTAAGTGCAAACAAAGTAGGAAACATTCTGGTAAAAGCCACTAGAAATTCCACAGGCTAGCAGCAGTCTTGCTGTCCTGACTTTTTCCTTTTTGTAAAATTCATTCATTTTTCTATGTGCCCTGCTTGTATCAAGGGAAAAGAAAGTGGAAGGGGCAGTAAGAATCTCCATCAGGAAACCCAAATCAGCAGGCCAGAAAGGGAAGTTTACTTTATTTGTGGTTTATGTGGAAATTGGAAACCTTAATTGGGTCTAGAGGGAGGGGCAGGAAGGAGCCTTCCTTGCAGATGACTGGAATGTGTCACTCAGAGCAAACAGATGCACTAGGAACAAACCCTATGGGGCAACAGAACCGAGCTCCCGCAAAGCCAGGTATGGAGAGGGGAGTGTGACGTGAGTTAGGGAGGCATGGACGCTGCCTCTCCAAAAGTTGGTGGAGCTCCACAGCTGCCCCTCTGAGGATGCGTGGATGACACCCTGCCAGGGATGCTGGGCTTGGCTTCCTGGAGGAGACAGGTGCCACAGGGTCATGGCTGAGGGAGGGTGACAGGGCTTCCTTGGCCACTCGAGCAAATGCTTGCCAAATGCACATGCTGCCCCTCCTTAAGGAGCTGCATCAAGAAAATTGTTTCCATGCCCCAGACTGTGTTGGCCCATTCAATACAATTGGGCCAACAATTTTCTACTTCATGCAGATGGAAAATCACTGATTTCCTGTCCTAACCAGCAAGGGGTGTCAATCACTGCCTGTGCAGTGAGAGGGGGCTTCTTTTCCATTAGCCAGGCCGGCTGGATCTGGCTCAGGATGGGGAGCTGAGGGGGCATGGTCGGATGGGGTTGTGAGGGAGCAACCGGTCCTGGAATATTCACCTTGGGAGTGAGGGGAATGAGGAATTCTGTCGAAATCTGGTCAAAACGGTTGCCAGGGCACCTGAAATCACAGCTCATCTCAATCGTGCTGGGCTATTGCTGACACTGACGTTAAGCAAGCCCCACCGGACACGTGTCATGTGGAGTCTGTGTATAACATCCCCAGACATGTGCGCAGTATGTGCACACACAGCCACCCTCTCACAGCTCTTTGGAGAACCCCCTGCCCTGCATTTTGAATACGTGTGTTCTTGTTTTCTCTTCCACCCAAGGTTCTGTCACCGACAAGCCCTTGAGCCAGGGTAACTCAGGAAGGAAAGGTGAGTGAAGTTTTATGCTTCATCTAAAGGTTTGCCCCTAAAGGTTATCTGGAAGCTCTCAGATAAGACAGAAGGAGCCTGGGGTGAGAACCGAACTTGCTCTGCAGAGTGTCTTCTTCATGTTTACTCTGTCTCTTCCTGGAAGCAGGAAGCCTTCCTGGAAGGTAAGCGAGACTGGTACCATGGTGGAGACCAAGCTTCCAGGACTTCCGGGGAACCCAATGAGCACAGAGCCCAGAGCTGGCAGGGTCCTTTAGTGTGCAAGCCCTGAGCACCTGGGCTCCCTGGGAAGTTCAATCAGCTGCAATGTAGCCAGCATTAAACCAAACAGGGAGAGGGTGCCCGTGGCTGCCCCTGGCTCCCTTGGAAGCCTGTTAGTGTTTTTTCCCACTGATGCTCCTTGACGATTGTTCCAGAACATCTAGATTCTCTTCACTGAGAAGAGGCTGGCTGCATGGACATGCAGAGTATCACGTGTCATGTGGAGTCTGTGTATAACATCCCCAGACATGTGCACAGTATGTGCACACACAGCCACCCTCTCACGGCATCAGGCTCTTTGGAGAATCCCCTGCCCTGCATTTTGAATACCTGAGGCAGGAGGATAGCTTGAGCCTAGGAGGTTGAAGCTTCAGTGAGCCATGGTTATACCACTGTACTATAGCCTGGACAGCAGAGTGAGACCCTATCTCTAAATCAAAAGGAAATAGCAAATGAAAGAACACCATGACAAGTCAAGACTATGAAAGAATGGGTCAAGCTTTACATTTCTGGAACTTTAACAGCACTTTTTCCTGCTTTTTTTTTCTTTTTTGAGTTGGGGTCTTTCTCTGTTAATCAGACTGGAGTGCAAGTGGCATGATCATGGCTCACTGGAGCCTTGGTCTACTGGGCTCAGGCTATCCTTCCACCTCATTCGCCTGAGTATCTGGAAATACAGACATGCACCACCATGCCCAGGTGATTTAAAAATTTTTTTGTAGAGGTGAGGTCTCATGTTGCCCAGGCTGGTCTTGAACTCCTGGGCTCAAGCAATCCTCTCTCCCCGGCTTCCAAAGTGCTGGGATTCCAGTTGTGAGCCACTGTGCCCGCCTTTTCCTGTTTTCTAAACAAAGGACCCTGCATTTTCCCTATACATTGGGCCCCACAAGTTATGTAGCCACATTTGTCCGAGTGCTAGTTAGTGGACCAGCCGATAAGGGCAGAAGGTCCCTGGAATATGCTAACCCTGATTCTCAGTGTGGAAGGCAGTTGGAGGCCTGAGCCTCACAACTGCTGAACTGTAGGACAGCATGTGCACACGCGGGGACACACACACACACACACACACACACACACACCTAGAGGCTGAGTAGGAAGCAGGTATGTCTTTCACCCCACATGCTTGTGTTCCAGAGCCCCATTCAGGCTGTGTTTGAGACTTCTTGTGGGCATGGAGATGGTGAGAGCTACATGCTTATCAGGGTCTATGCGGAGAACCAGGCCACTGGGGGTCGTTATGGCATGCACAGCCCTGTTCTACACATGTGGTTGCAGGGAACTGAGCAAGACCCGGGCCTTATACCTGGGAGGAGGGGCTGAGTCTCTCACTGTGAATGCGGGAGATAAGGGTCCAGAGAGCCTGCTGCCCCAAATGCAGGTGCTCCTACAAGATGCAGAGGTGGAACGGGGATCCCACCACCTCTCAGGGAGCATGGGCCCATAGGCAGCTCCTCTCCCCCCAGGCAGGGGTGCATGGCTGGACAGTAGGGGCTGCAGGTGCCCAGGTGCCTTTCCAGGTACCCTCAGAGCATGGGGAGTCAGCCACGATTTCTCTTCCAGGTGGGAAAGTGAGCAATGGTGGGGGGTAGGGGGGTTGTGTACAGAGACCAGCAGGTTCTTCCACTGAGGGGTGTGTGCTGGAGCTGGAGGAGGAGGCTGCCCCCCGGGCTGCTCATCACAGCTGAGGTCTGTAGGAGCATGGCCCTGCTTCCTGGGCATGAGATCCTGGTGCTGGAAAGAAAATACATGCAGTTGTGCCGGATTGACCACCCAGATCTTGCCCCAGAGTTATATAGAATAAAGCATGTTTACCAGAAAGAGCCACCCTGGGACTCCGGATCTGAAACTGGCCAGGGAAATGCTTTCTGAGTTGAGGTAGCTTTGCAACCTGTGGACAGCTGCAAGAGATAGGCCTGCATGCTCCTGGGCTCTCAGGGTCCAGCTAGGATGGGGCAGGGCTGGGGATATCAGTTTACGGCAAACAGTAGTGAGCACCCTTGGCCCCTTTTTAGCTCTAAGGCCAGCTGCCAGCCAAAGAAGGAGGAGGGCCCGATCCCTCCAGGGGTGATATGGGGAGTGGGTGGCATCTGATGCTGCATCTCAGGGGTTGTGCTGCTGGTGGTCCTCAGCTCTTTGCTTCCTCCCTGATGGTTTCTTCCTCCCAGGTGGTTCTGCAGAGGCTTCCTTGCTGGGGCAAAGGCCAGGACAAGGCCTGGGCAGCGAATGCCAGAACTCACTCTCCCCTGGGGTCATGAGTTCTACTGGCAGCCTCTCTTTCCCTCTACTTTGGATGATACCCCCAGGCACCAAGTCCTCTTGTCTCTGTCTGCCACAGGCAGTACAGTGACGAGTCAGGTCACCTGTAGGAAGGGCCACCTGAAGCCACACCTGTCCAGGAAGCCGGGTTTGAATGGGGACAGGGTGCGAGAGAGGGCATTCGTAATATCCTGTGTCAACCCACGAGGTTCTTCTTTCAGCTGCCACTTAGGAATGGAATGTGCTCTTGGGGGCAGCAGGTGAGAGGACACAAAGGACCCTTGTCTCAGCTCGTGCTGCACGTGGGTTCTCCTAGGACGAAGTTGCCACCCTGGGGCCCGCCACAGAGATGGGGACCCCCTTGCAGGGTGAAGGGTAGGGCCAAGAGGGAGGTGAGACCAGAGGTCTGGGGTTGAGTGGTAGGGGCAGTGCTAGGACAGGCCCGTCTCTTTCCTCAGCCTCTTGCCTTTTGAGTTTGCTGCACAGCTGGCAGGGATCACTTCTCCCTGCCCAGAGGGAATGAAAAGACGTATTGTGCGACCTTGGAGCAGCGTCTGGTTGGTTGCCAGCCAGGAATTAGTCCTCCGAAGGAGAGGAGAAGAAAGGCCAAGCAAAAGGAG